GGGGGGGGGGGGCGAGTCGCGAGGGAGTGCACGAGCGAGATGGAAAAATATAAAGTTACACGAGACAGGGAGAGGTTGAATCGAGACAGACCTACACTCTGGAAGAGGTTTAGAGGAGATGAAAGAGAGAGAGAGAGAGAGAGAGAGAGAGAGCGAGAGAAATAGATAGAGAGAAGCCGAGACACGATTATGAGGAGGTGATGGCGGAGGGATCGAGGGCGAGGGTAGCTTCAAAAAAAGGATAATTGAAGCGAAGGGACCGAAAGGGTGAGCGAGAGAGCGAGAGCGGTAATATAGGCAAAATATAGAAAAGGATAATTGAAGAATGGCACGTCGGCGTGAGAGGTAGAGTTTGAAAAGAGGCATCGAGGAAGGGACTGGAGGAACGGGAGGGAATGGTTATGAAGGAGAAAAATGGGGGTAAAGGTTCGAAGGTAAGTAAAGAAAAGTGTGCGGGAAGGTAGAAAGCGGGGATCCGCTCGACCGAAAGACGCGGTAGCGGCGCCCGAGGAGAGAAGAGATGAGGAACGAGTCACGGAGAGGGATGGATATCCTTATTTTCTGCTGGTGCTGCTCCTTACCGCCCCTTCCGCGACCTTCTGCCACGACCTCCCCCATATCCTCCTCCGCGTTCTTCTACAGGCTCCATTGTAATATTTATTGATTGGATTCCGAGGAACCGAGGCTCAGCTCCCTCTCTTGCTCGCTCGCTCTTTCACGCGCGCTCTCTATCTCTGTCTCTCTCTCTCTCTCTCTATGTCTCTAACTTTCTTCCTTCCTTCCATGCGTCCTAGCTTCCTTGCTTCTTTGCTTCTTTCCTTCCTTCCCTCCTTCCTTCCTTCCTTCCTTCCTTCCTTCCTTCCTGCCTTCCTTCTATCTCCATTCTCTGGGCACCTTCTTTCGCTCCCTTATGCATATTACGATTCCCTTACGTCCGCTTCTGCTCTCGTAGGCGCTTGCCCTTTTTTCGTGTCCACGGGAAGTGAATACTTTTGCGAATGGGTCTCCGCTCGAAAGAATAACGCCATCTCGTCCGTTTCTGACTGTAGCGGTTAAAGTCGCCGTTACAGTGCGATAAGCAATATCCCCGATACTACTTTATCCTTGAGGTTTTATAGCTCGCCTTCGCAATACAACGTATCCTCAATCGTGTATTTAATAACTCCCGATTGATATGCCGCTCATATCGAATCCCGAAAAAATTATCGAAGTTCGAGTGCGTATGCAATAATTATCAATACTTCACTTCAGTGTCTAGGTCAGATAACAATTGAACTGATTAAATATTTGCAAGTTCGTGCATAATTACTCTGTGAGAGATCTGCATGTGTTTTAACAAAATTACTCTATTGTATATTTATTACGTAACGGATAAACTAGAAATTCTTTTATACGTACTGTTAACGTAACACCCGCCTATTAACAATATGGCATTATCATATAATCCTTAATAAGCTGGGTAAGTGTGAGAAATAATAGGGAACGATTTATGTGGAAAGGGAAGGATCTGTAAGAGGAACCGAGAGAACGATAGACGAGGAAGTGAATTTGAATCGTTAATCTAATGCAATACT